CCAGTCGAAGGGTCGCAAGCGACGCCTTCTGGGGGCCAAGGCTTTGGAAGGGTAGGTCTTTTCCACAGCTCCGAGAATTCTCGGATTTTGTGTCAAGGAGATGCATGCCGGGTACGTGGATGTTTGTTGCATTCATGGATTCCGTGGTTCCATCGGCCTCCTTCTTACCTAGAGTCTAGAGTGTCAGGGCATCCTGGTGGGTGGGCTATTCCTTGGAGAAGCCCAACACCATGCCCACCTACACTTGCGGATGACCAACATTTGTGGTGAGTCAATTCTGACTGCACCCACATAAGTCAACCATAGTCAACCGCATCTTCTTCCGGTTGCCACTCCAAACCGAGCTGGCCGCACTTCACCCCATCCTGCTCGGCCCTCTTCTTCCGTGCGATCAAGCGACCACTGTTGAGCTTGGAGCTGCCGACCACACGGTGATAGCCCAAGAGCCGCACCAGTGAGGGAACCCAACACCAGGGCCTTGGCACCTTTCCCGCCTCGGCGTGAGGGCGCTGGCCTGGGGTGGGATTGACCTCGGCTGGGCCACTGGTGTTGTTTCGGTTTGGAGCTGGCCTTGGCTGTGGCAAGTGGAAAATCGGGTAGGTGGGTAGGTGGGCGCGCGTTAATGCCCAAAGGACACATCCATGCGGGCGTACACAGTTTGAACCAACCGCAAATTGCCCAAATCCAGCCCCTCCCGGGAAGAGTCCCCGCAGAAAGCGCACCGTGCGGAGAACTTTTCTAAGTCCATGAACAGTAGTCAGTAGTGCCAGCACTGCTTCCGGATTTCAGGCATCATGGGAACTGTGTGGCTGCCTTGTTTGATTTGGAGGGAGCTTTTAAAGAAGATCTCGTCTCACAACGCTCAACCTTTGGAAAGCCACTGACAGCTTGCCTCAATCTCGTCTCAAGCTTCTCAAGCTTCATCGCGAAAATTGGCATCCACTCAACCAGGCCTACCAGCATACCTATATATATATATATATGCCTTCACCTAATCAGCTGAATTGTCTGATTTGAAGGCCCATATTTTTGAAGGTGAGCCTCGCTGTCCCACTCCCACAGCCAAGCCACACTCAGAGCCGCCTCAAAGAGGTTCTGCGTCCCATGCACGGGCACCAGGTTGCCATACTCTGGCAGCCTGCGCGTGCCAAGTCTTGAACAATCCATGCAATCCACAAAATCCTGCCCGCAATCTCAGCAAAGATCCACCCACTCCCGGAAATGAAACCTGAACCACAACTCCGTGCCGCCGTGGCGCGGGATATGGAAGTAGGCCAGCCAGGGCAGTGCTTCGCAGGAGAGCTCCTTCGCCTGTCGCCGGAAGCTCTCCACCACGTCGCAGGGAATCGCATCGTAGCCTCGCGACCACGGCCAGCGCCACCCCTCCACCGTACCGAGGACCCGAGTGCTTCGGGCCACCCAGGACTTCCACCGGACCGCACGTCCCAGGGACACGACCGGGCGCAGAGATGAGGTGACCCCGCAAGCGGGTCAGGTCAACACTCCGGTCGGGCGTGTCACCCTTCTGCTAAACTGACGCACTGATTTGGGGTCTGCTGCTACGCCCAGTGCCCGGTGCCTATACTCTTCAGGTAGGGTGGTGACTAAGAAGAGTCTGAAGCTGAGGCACGAATGTTGGGGTCCGGATTGTTTCCTCCAGAATCCTCAGCGTGATGAAGCAACTAACTCCACCAAGAAAGCAACTGCACACAAACCCACATACGCGGCTGGAATCTCAGCACTCTCCGTCCTCTATATACCAGGTCCAAGCTGCAAAGAACCACAGCCGCAAGGTGCTCGTGCCCGCAGGTCCTCCGAACCAAACATATCAATCTGACCTTGGCGGCCTGGTAAGATTCTGGCAGGATTCACCAACGACCCAGATTAAAGCAGGCTTCTGAATCCTTTTGATCTGAAGCTCGGTGCATTCTATGACCTTGGCGGCCTTGGCAGTATTTAGCTTTCTTTCTACTTTGAGGTGTTTACGACTATCCCCGCCTCCTCCCGGCCACCAAGCAACCCAAAAAAAGAAGCCGAATTTGGAGGTCCTACAGTGAAGGTGTGGTTGAAGGATTTGGAGCCCTTGGACGCGCAGCCCGGCAAATCATACATCTCCAACAGTTCCTGGGCGTCGAGGGGCCGAGACGCGGTGGGTCGCTACATGGTGGACTGGTCGGGCTTCAGGTTGAACGGCCCATCGTCATCCCCTAATATATATATATATCCATACTATAATACTATAATACACACACACATATATATATATATATACAGTACATAGATGCCGGCCTGACAGGTTCAGGGTCCCACTAGTTCCGGTCGCGACGCGACAAGCAGCTGATTCAATGGTTCAAGAACACATGGACACATGACGCATGCTGGTCACATTTGGTGCCTGGGTCCTTTTGAAGGAGCATCTGGATTTGTCTCAACTTGAGATTTGCAGTGACCTCCTGGGTTGGTGGCAACTCTCCTTCATTCAAGGATCATCTCTGCTCCATGGTGCGTCATCATCATCGTGGTTTCCAGGAACGAAGGTCCACGGCACCCTACAGCAACTGACGGCATTCGAGAACAGGACCCTAGTAGCGATGGCCTCCACCCCTTTTCCGCCACCCGGGGCTTGTTCTCAAATTCACGGCATTCCAGGACAGGATTATATAAGTGACATTTGGGGAGGGTGCTTCATTCTGTCTCTTTGTGAAGGCCAAGGGTGTAGTCCTGTTGTAGGTTTCATCGCATTCTTGTCAACCCCTGCCATCCCAGCCATCACTCACCTTGAACTTGCGAATCCCGGAATCCCTGAGTGTCGGACTCGTCCAAATCCACGAATCGTCCCACCTGCCACCTGAAACCTATCAAAGGCACTTCGCACGTTGAAGAGGTTCAAGCAACGTCATCATTGAAGACTTCCAGTCCTTCTCGTTCATCTGTTGGAATGGCCTGCGTTCGGAGTGCATCGAAGGTACCCATGGACCAGGTCAATGGTAGTTTTCCGAGCCGTCGGGGAGAGAGGCAAGAATCAAAGCGAAAGAAGCTCGAAGGTTTGACTGGTTCTTAGGTCCGTTCGCTTTCCTGAGGGAAAGGCTAGTGATCATCATCGTTGGGAACCCTCGAGGGACTTCATCATCCCCCAGTGATCGATTTGCCGCTTAAAAGGGACCCTGGATCGACCCTGCACGGCCTCCCGTCGATGATGTCACCAGTGAAGATCACCAAGTGAGGGCAGGCTTGTCCTCAGTCACAGTCTATGACAGTCTATGATCTCAAGGGCACGTCTAGCCATTTGAACTTGACGCACCCCGAAGCCACCTGACCAACGGCTGAAGGAACCGGCCAGGAGCCGTCGAGAAAGGAGTAGTGAGTAGTGGAGCCTTCTTTAGCTGCATCCACGGCACACACCACATTTCAGGTTCAACTAGAATGCCTCCACACTGAAAGCATATCCTGAAATCCTGCCAAGCCTCTCAGGACCGCGTCCACAATCCCCACCTGACTCGGGTTGCTCAACGTGCGGCTACCTCATTCCGGGTGAAGAAACACAGCAAACCCAAGGAACACCGAGCAACTAGCTCTCATCTTCCCCTGCCAGGACATCTAGAGTGGATAGATGCATGGTTTTGGGGAGGGGTCATAGCAGATCTCTCCGCGCCTATGGTTTCGTTGACAAAACCTTCACCCTGAGAGCGCCCATCTGGCACTACCAATGGGACGCTTCAAAAAGACCGCCACGATGCAAACGATCCTCTTGGGGGCCTCCAGACGCATCGCCATCATTTGGGCCCCATCGCCATCTTCACCCCCCTCCCCCCCCAAAAAAAAATAAACGGTGCCACTACCGGTGCCACAGCCCGCCTCCCCTTCTGCTTCATAACTCTCCAAGTCCACGTCCTTCCCACGACCATTCTGCCAGACACGGCAGCTGCACGGGAAGCGGTGCACGTCTGTGACTTGCGCCACGCGCAGTGCTTCCCCAGCAGATGCCTGGGGCGATGCATCTCGGAGATCGCTCGAATCCCTAGAGCCAGAAGCATCTGGATTCCAGGAGCATAGGTCTCGGAGACATGAAGAATCATGAAGACGAGGTGTAGGTTTTGTTCAACCTGAGTGCTTCGACTTTCACCTGCTTCCTTTGTAGGCTTGTAGGCTTGACTAAGGACCTCCATTGGCCTCCTGTAGGATTGCAAACGTATGTCCTTCCTCGAACCCTTCTACTCCACATGTTCCAGTGCCAACTGTCACTGACTGATCTCTACGTGTAGCAGCAGGTTTTGCAACCTCCAACACCCCCCACAAAAAAAAAAGAGAGCAACAAATAAAGGCCGCTGTTGATGCTGGACATTCCTTCAATCTATTTTAGGAGAAAACTCGTCCACATGCTTGAGCGCTTCCTTGACACCATCCGGATGCCAAGTTCATCCAATTTCCACTCTTTGCTGCTCCGGCCTGGAGCGGGACATGGCCCACATTCTCCAAAGCGCTTTCGATGCAATGCATGCTCGTTCGCAGCGGGTACTCGAGGTGATGATTCGATGATTCCGCCCGAAGGGTCTGTTCCAGGACTCCTGTTGTCATTGTGGGGTGTGTATTTACAAAATAAGGAGGTTCAGGGGTGTCTCTTCACCCTGGCTCCATGTGTGCGTTCGCTTTGATCGCCGACATTTGGCTCAAAGAGCTCTCCACTTGGATTGAGATGGCTTTGCGGAAGATCTGCGCGCCGACCCACAACGAACCATGCCCTCAGCAAATGTTGAGTTCGTCGCTAACTCAGGAACCATCCGACCAAAGTGTGTTGGGGGAAACCGAGACCTCATGAGACGACCACCATCTGGGCTCTAGCTACAACAACCTTCAACCAACTTGCAAAGTTCGGAGCGTTTAGCGTGGTGAAACAAGGTTCTGAGCATGTATGTTCTGTATGCCAAGCTGCCTAAGCCTGCAATTCAACAAGCCCCTTCCAACCAGTCGACCTGCCGACTGCCTCCCGTAAGCCTCCCGACTTAGGCCTGTGAGCACTACGGGCGTCCCAGGGCCTCAGTGTGATGCTGTTCGTGGATACACCAGGCCCATCCTGCAACTCAAAATCTGAATCTTCCAGCCAGTTTTCCCGCTCCATGCAGTCAACATCCATCAAAATCCTACCAGGATTGACTCGCGTCGCAGTACCGCAACAGCAAAGCCATACCCCGCTGCGGCCCACGCTGGATGGACCCGTGCGGAAGCGACGTCGAAACTCCTCGTCGCATGGCAACCACCAGCGAGCATGGAAAAAGGATGAATTGATCATGATGACATATTCAGTTGTATTGTAATTTTTCGGTATTGTTGCAACATTTGTTCAATTGCTATGATAATGATAAATTGATACCGAGCCTTTGCTTTTTTGTCGTTTTAGCATGTTTAGCTATGAAGACCCAAGTTTTTTTGAGGGCCCTTTGGAAGCTCGTCAATCTCCCAAATGTGGATGTGTACGGAGGCCATCCAGCGCCCTACAGGGCAGCTGGAAATACCATCAGCGGACAACAGAATGCCCTTAGAAAATGACATGAGAAGGCCAATCAGGGGATAGTTCCCTAGTTGAAAAGGAAAACACATGTTCTGAACATCCGCCTCGACGGAACAATCCAAACGAAGAACCGTCGAAACGGGTCGAAACCGTCGATCTATCCGCTGTCGGTGACGTCGGTGTCAAAAGGGTCACCGTTCCGCCAAGAGCCCACCGCTCAGTCAACGACAACCCCACAAGGCACGGAACAGGGAAAGGACCCAAACGATCAACAAACAGTGCTTCGTTCGATGCCCAGGACACAAAAAGATAAAAAACAGGGCGTGACGAGAAAGACCTAAACAATTCTGCCTTTTGGTATGGTTTTTGGATGATCTCTTTGGTTTGACCCGTCCTCGGAGGTCAAGGTGCTAGCCTCCACATGCTCAAAGTCGCATGTGCCCTGAGCCAGGCCCAGGTAGGCCTTATATCCGGGGCTGGTGGAAAGCGCAGTTGTTCAGTTGTCACAGTTGTTCGATGCCGAAAGCCATCCAACGAGGGATCTTCGCATCTGAACGTCCCGTTCAGCGGGGTTATCAGGGGTTCAGCGCTACACGCGCCAAGGAGGGACGGACCTCGAGCATGTCACCTGTGAGCTTCTAGAACTTTCCTCTGCCTCATCTCACACGGCAATCCTCCTTTTTCATCCTTCAGCCATCTGTCCTCTGTACATTCCGGCTGCTCACCTGCTCACCCCACGTTGGCCATCTTGTTCCCAGAGCCCCAGGGATGTTCATCTTTGAAGGCATCGAAGTCCTTGGCATCGCCATCACCAGGCCGTAAGGACCGCAAGGGCAACATCCGTCCCCGAAACCGCTGGCGGTCCCCAAAAGAGCGCACCGAGTGGCCCCCAAACAGATACAGTAGCTTCACCATGGCTCATGTTTGGATTTTGGAGTCATTGTGCTGACCGTGCTGACGTGGGTCCTTCCAATGCGTTTGCCAAAACACTTCTGATGGATGCATAACTCGGAGCCTTCCTGGGGGCCGGCTCTAAACACTCAAGCTGTGCCTAGCCTCAACACCAAACAGCCAATGTTAGCCTCTCCCACTGGTCAGGACAACTGGACAATACGCATGGCTCGAGCCAAGGAACACGATCTTTGTACAACCTCAGTGGGAAGCTGGTCCAGGCAGGTTGCTGCTGTCAGCTTGATTCATGACTGTTCGCCTGATACCAGTGAAACCCTGCACCACAGTGTTGTGGCAGCAAGCGACGAACTGATTTGAGGACCAGGTCTGTGAAGCTACGACTCGTCTCTGTTGGAAACACCTAGGGAGTGCCGGAACCTGCCAGGTCACTTCTGCTCGTCTTCCCATTCCTCTTGAGCACCATAACGATCACCATCCCACCTCAGACTGCCAATGTCCAAACGGTCGAAATGCACATTATACCACTACTTCACCGGATGCTCCTTCTCGGCTGTTTAGACGAACCAGCGGACCGCCTGGTTTGATGTCACCGACTTGACCGTAGACGATGTAGACCAAGAGAATTCGAGAACGAATGTAGAAAGGTTCCGTTTTGTCTGGCCACCGGCACCGTCGCAACGGGAGAGCAGGCTCCAACACCAAACTTGCACCTATCTGCATATTTCCGAGACGCTTTGTCTGGAGACGTGAGGGGGAAACAAAAGCTCCAAGGAATTCACTGCACGTTCTTCCGTCCTCTTCCACGCATCTACGAACCGAAACCGGACTCCAGTGTAGGCAGGACCGAGAAGAAACACCAGTCGGAGTTATATGACGTATATACACTCGAAATTCTCCAGTCAACATCAAAACAAAGCAAAATCATCTCCAGACATGGCGTGGGAAACAAAGGGAGGCAAGGGGAGACAAAGGAAAGACAAAGGGAGACAAAGCAAAATCATCTCAACCCAGCATTCAGACACGCCATGGGAGACAAGGGGAGACAAAGGGCGGAAATCATCTTGGCCCAGCATCGTTTCTATGCAAGAATTTAGAAACCTAGCCAAGCTGTTTGGGGGAAAAAGCACCTCCTCCTTCGAAGAACCTCCTCCCGAGACTGGCGACCGTCGCTCGCTGGGCTCCCCCGACCATCGCTCGGCCTCCAGGGCCCGCGCCTCGGCGGCGCGTAGCGCCTGGGCCGCCTGGGTCGGCCGAGCGTCGTCTCGGTTCAGTCGAGGTGAGACGGGAAGGGACCGAAGAGGTGAGGGTGAGACACGTTGAGACAGTGCGAACTAACTATGTGCTATATAGCTGCTCCAAAGGATGTTCAAACATAGGTTGCACTTGCTGCAACCTACTTGTGGCGGAGGAAGTGTTTGCATCGCTCTGCTTGGTGAGCATTCTCAAAGATCCAGCCTTGGCCAGAACCAGAAACGGTTTGGGCGGCAACCAAGAATGGCCCCTGTTGCTGAAAGAGACTCGGAAATTTGCAGCATGGTGCACCATGGCATCTGAGCCTTTTTGGCATCAGAACTGGTCCGGCTCTGGTTATTCCAGTGTTGGGAACAACGCGCTCTTAAACTCTTTGGCTAAGTCTTAAGTGCGACGTGCGATTACTTCTCTATATACCTACCAATCGTTTGTAGGGTGAAATCTCTGAGCTCAAACGCACCCGAAAAAGCATCGCTGGAAAGGTTGGCCTGTCCAAAAACCAAACTCCTGGGCCAGGCCTCACGGTCTCGCATCTCTTCAATCTCCAGATCTGCAGCTTCCTCGATGGACATGGTAGCCAGTGGATGGGGACATCTGAAAACCTCGGTGCCACGCAAAGGGTGGCCATGCACCCCCACCCACCCCACCCCGACCCCCAACACATCATCCGGCAAACTCCTTAGCTTTCTGCAGTGCTTAAGCAGGGAAGGCCCATGTCAGTCATTTGGCGAAGGCGGGAAGCAATATATAGCACCTGGCTTGCCCTCACTGATTTCACCTGGCTTGCGGGCCGCACTGGTTTCGCCTGGTCTCCAGGATGCTGCCCAAGGGGCCATCTCTTTGTACAACCTTTGCAGCTCGGCCCTGTCCTGTGCGTGGAACGCCGAGCCAGACCCCATCGGGGTGCCCACAGGGCAAGGACTACAGAGGAAGCCCACAAAGGAAGCGAAAATGTCAACCGAATCTTTGATTTCAACTGTTGATGCAAGTTCTGCACCAGCTGGAAGCCCCAGAGCACTTCAAATCCTGGACAACCCCCTGCATATCTGAAGTGGCACAGAACTTCTTCCACGAGCTGCACTTTGCGGCCCATGTGCCTGGATCCGAACCATGTGAGGCTTCTCTCGCGGCGCCCGCGAGGGTTCTGGGGCCGCGCCAGGGCCACCACGCGCCTCCAAAGAGGCATCGAGTGAACCAAAACCGCCCAGGGCAGCAGAGTGTCGAACCCAGTCCGCGCTTCGACTCGGACGAATCACGAGTCGGACACCAAATCCCTTTTGGGGGGTCCTGGAGCCAACCCATGGCAGGTCATTTCAACTAAGGAGGGCTTCAAGCGGCAAATGGCTAAAAGGAGCAAAAGCGAAGTTTCAGTGGTGCTTCAGCTTCAGCACCAACAAAGTGTAATATGCCAATACAAACGACTTTAATACGCCATGACACTATCATCATCTCAAGCAGCGGCATCTCTTGTTGAGCCGAGGCCACATTCTCAGGAACCTGGGCGCAGCACCGAGGCCCCACCCGAAGAGTCTGGCTTCAAGAGAGAGAGAGAGAGAGAGGTCAGCTAATCTCGTCATAGGACTAGGACCTGTTGGGTGCCTTTCGGATGGGAGTTCTTCTAGGTGAAGCCACTGGGGCCTCACAATAGTGACAGGGAGTTCTTCTCCTTTGTGACAGGAGCCACAAAAAGGCACTCCCTGCTGAGGATACCCAACCCCACTGCAAGTGGAACGCCCCACTGGCTCCATCAATCCCCCCTGCACTGCCGAGCATCGGAGGCCACCGCCCGACGCAGCAGCATCAAAATGAGCTCACGCTCCTTGGGCAATGTTTTTGGGGTCGGTCAGAGTCTGGTTTTCCACGTTGTCTCGAACACGCAAGAAACCGCAGGACGATTCAGAAGATGAGAGGGATGACTGAACAACACAACATGAAAAAGATTGTTTTGCCTATCCAAGCTTGGGGTGCTGAACCTTGCACTGGGTTGCTTGGGCACAAAATACGGACTGAATATGGGTGGGATGTTGTTTCGTGATTGTTTGTTTCGTTTGGTGCCATGATGTCTCCATAGTTCCTTCTGTGGAAGTGAAAAGCTACCTGAGAAATTGCCCATTTCGAGGCCATTTTCCATTTCGAGCCAGGCCAACAAAAACGGTCACAGGGCGAACAAGCATGAGACGCCATCAGTGCTTCCTTCACCTTCAGGGGCAATCCGAGTGCATCATATGAACAATTTGTTTATTATATATACACGCCCTTCTCGATGGAATACACCTAGTGACCTAGTGACTGTAAAGCAAAGAACGTGCGAAACCCACAGAAACATCGAAAGCTCGAAAAAACGAAAACAACAAAAACGGCAGAGCCAAAAACAAAGGGACACAATACGCCACAAGAAAACAAGAAGCAGGAAGTAAAGAAAAGCAGCAGAAAAGCAAGGAAAAGCAAAACAGCACACAACTCTCAACAGGAAAAGCAAGAAAAACATGACACAGCAAGAAAGCAACAAGAAACATGAAAACCATGGAGAAACGCATCCAAAGAACCATCCTAAACGAAACAAACAGATCCCAAAAAAAATAGACTAACACTAAACATTGCCATGTTCAAATTAAGGGATGGTCAACAACAGTCAGTACCTGCATGGTGTCCAAGCATGCCTCTCGGCAGCAAGGACACAAATGGAGAGAGCTAGCCATGTTTGCTGCTTGATCTGTGGGTTGACCAGTTGGCGGTTAGCAGGGTTTGCCAAAGGAACCCGCTGCAAAACATGGGTTCAGAGCAGCACAAAGCCCCCGGAAAGTCTTCAGAAAGCCTCCAACATCTGACAACACAAACCTGATCCTCACACCCCTTCGACCACGGTAAGCTTCCCACACGTGAAGCTTGAGGCGTCACCTTGTGGATGTCACTTGCTTTCCCTGACACACTGTTTTTTCGCCCCGGGAACCAAAAAAAGATTCGCACGCCAGCCCTTTCAAGGACACTCAAAAGCCAGGCTGCCATGTCTTCATCGAAGGAGCTGCCAGCACCCCACAGATACTCATCACCCAGGTCTTCACGTTTCTGGCCGAACCTTGGTGAAAAAAAAGAGCGGGCGTTGGTAAGGATGTAGGTTTTGCCTATCAGATGCTTAAAGGCATCGTATTTTACAGCGCTTTGTGAATGCAATAGGCTCAATCACACCGCTTTGGAAATCAATTGGGCCAAAAGGAATTTAAAAGAATTTTGCGAAACAACTGGATCTTTTTCCAAATGATTTGGGCCTAAATGCGTTCAAGTTCTTCCCGCTTTGCGCGCGTCGTCTTGCATGGGCGGCTGCTCATGACGTTGACCTAAATTGTAGCACCCATGCAGACTGTGCACATGGTGCATGCCTTTGCACGCTCGAACTCTGCACATGTGTCACTGTAGTGCAGTGAAATTCGCATCAGTTCGGTTGCGGTCAGTCAGCGTGACTGGCGTTGGATGTTGTCACGCTGCTGCCGCACCTCTTAATTTAATCTTCCAATTCCTCCCACATAGGGCTCCAGGCGATTGATTTTGTTCTCTATTTCGGTCGCCTGCCCTCGTACGTTGCCAAGGCATATGAAACAATCCATTCACGTCTGCACTTCGAGGTTCACAAAGTACTGCGCCTGCCACGAAACC